CCCCAAAGCAGATCTTGCTGCAGCAGAACAAATTGCGGCCAGTCTGTTCTTTGAAAATGTCTTTGGAGCTGCCGGAGGTGCTAACGGGCTCAACTTTTTAATCGCCCTGAGCGCTTTTGGAAATTTGCTGGCAGTCTTCTTAGGACAGTCCCGTCTCCTTCGGGAATGTGGCAGGTAAGCACAGTCTTCCCTTCATAGGCCAGGACGATAATCCAATGAGGTTTGCATTCCAACTCTAACGAATCCGTGAACAGGCAAGGTGTACTCCCGTGGCCGCGATTCTGGGCCTCGACCAAGCCATTTGGCACACCTCTCGGGCCTTACTTCATCAAGTGGCTACTCACAATCATAATGATCTTGGCACCACCAGCAGGTGACGCTTTCGCCTTTGGTATGACAATGATCAGCCCTACCATCCCCTGAACCTTGTACTAACCTGCAATCACAGTTACCGACCTTGCTGTATATCCTTCGTCCTTCTTTCAGCTTTTGTTAGCGATCGGTCTTTTCCTCGTGCGATGGCGTCGGCGTCGACTCAGTCTTCCTCGGCCGGTATTTCATGCCTGGGACGTGGTCATCATTTTTACGATCCTTGTTAACCTGTTCCTCCTCGTCATGCCATGGTATCCACCGCCGGGCGGCAAAGGGGACGTGTCTTTCTGGTACGCCACATATGTTGTAACTGGCATTGGCATCATTATTGGCTGTGGTGTCTATTACTGGCTCTGGATCTGGGCTTTCCCAAGGATCGGTGGTTATAGAGTCCGTCAGGAGATTCTGGAGCTTGACCATGGCGCACAAAGCCACAAGCTTGTCAAGGTTCCGGTGCGGGAACTAGCGCAGTGGGATGAGGCTCATGATAGTATTGGGAGAAGGGTCGGGGCTGGCTCTGAAGGTAGCCTGGAGGGAGAAGCTTTTGGAGTGCACGAAGTGTCGAAACAAGAGAAGTCTGCTGCCTAGTCGAGATGCATTGACTGGCGCGCTAGGTAAAAGCCTCTCTCGGATGGATCAGCAGTAGAGGGTGTAATTTTTAGCTCTGGGTTGGGGAGATTCCAAGAGAATGCTAAAAGGGTCTGACGCGCAGTCTTTTCAACCAAAGCCCAAATGTACAGTTCTACATCTGGGATCTGTTGATCTGAGAATAATTTGTCACACATGTAAATAGCGACTATTGGCGCGGCACTGACGCCTAATGAGGTACCAGAATACTCTCTGTGTGTGACTGGCACAGTGTTGTTTTGAGGTGTTGGATTCTTTAGTGATGAGTTGCAATCGACATGAGACGGGGAGCGCGCTGACGCCATCTCCAATTCCTTTTTTATCTTGATTTTTCCCGTTCTAAGCTTTCGGATGATTTACGGATCCTTGTTGGATCAGTACTTGTACTGCGTGGCTTGCTGGATGCTTTCGACTGGCTCTGTGCCGAGTACGACATTATCTCGCTCCACAATGACAGTGCCATCAGGAGCAACAAATTCATCGCCAACCGCATATTCCCAACCATACCCCATCTCCTTGACGACTCTTTGGTTGCGAGTTGGCCAAACCATACAAAGAGCCACGTACACCACAAAAGTGACGGTGAATGAAAGGATCCAGCCAAGGTCGCTCAGGTGCGTTGCTGGCGACTCGACGCTGACACCCAAAGTGCCAATGAAACCCGGAAAAGGCAGAGCTACACCGCAAATGTATGCGATATAGGCTTGCACGTTCCAGCCCTTGTGGTAGTAGTAATGCTTGTTCGACGATGTCGGGTCGTACAACCATGTCACAAAGACGTTACCCTTCGTGATGACCCAGTAATCCGCTATCATGATGGCCGCGACGCTCGCCATGAATAGACCATATCCAGATAGGAATGTCTCAAAGATGGAGGCCGAGGCCAGAATCTTCCATGGGCAAATCGCAAAGGCTAAGAATTCCACAATGTACTGGCCTCGTGGGATGGTGAAATATTTCGCTATTGTCCATTAATTTATGCAAATTTTGTGCGTATGTCCCATCATAGACTTACGAAACAAGAGCGTGAGATCACTGCCGAAGGGGATCATATTGGCGGCGATATTGGTACCCAGAATCGAAAACATCCAGCAGAAGGCGCAAAGGAAGACAAGCGTTCTCGCGCCGCCTGAGAAGTAATGGTCGAGGATGGCATCGAGCAAGTCCCAGGGGTTCCAAAGTGCAAGATCCCAGGTGTTGTTTAGTGCTGCCGTGGCCAGAATTCCGAGAGAAGCGGAGAGCGTGACAGCAATGGGATTAGTAATGAGCTGTGACCACATGGCTCCTGTTTTGGTCTTGCTCCATCTTGCAATGTCAGGCTGGTTTGTGATGAGAGTCGCCTGTGAAAAAAGTCAGCTCTCAGTCGTACCAGAGCACTGCTCGACATGAGAGCGAGCGGCCTACCGTGTTACCCATGCCAGCATTTATGGCTTGCAAAATGTACCACGCTTTGTTGCCCGTTATGGTGCCGCTGTAGATGCTGCCCACGTTGCCCTTGGTGTCGACGAGGCAGAAAATGAACAACCCTAAGATCGAAGGCACCATCACGGCCGTCTTGAACCAGAAGAACCACTTCATTTGGTATGGCCTGAGTGCACAGAATGGGAAGTGGACACACCAGAACAGGAAGAACGACAGCATCCCCGCAGTCGTGATTCCCATTGACGCTGGAATCGTGTTCGGGATATCCTCATATAGCCGACCAAAGACGCAGCGCAGCATGACGGAGACAAAGGCGCTTCCGGAGAAAAGCTGGATACCGTACCAGATGATAGCCAGACATGCGCGTGCAGCTACCACGTAGAAGGAGCCCCACATACCGAAGACACTGCGAGCCACGACGGGGTACCCAATGTGGTAAGCACTGGCGCAACGACTGTTGAAAAACATGGCAAGTGAAGAGATGACCTGCGAGGCGAAGATGACAACGATCGCCTCCCACCAATTCAGACCCAAGCCGACCATCGTGGACCCCAGCGTCCAGTTGCCAAAGGATAAAGCCCAGTAGAAGCTGACATAATTGGAGAATGCCCAGGTTCGTTTGGCTGGCGGCGTTGGGTCGAGGTCTTCATTGGACCATCGCGCATTGTTCTCAAACTGGGACACCCGCCCGTGAACGTCGAGGGCGGACGAAGGCGCCTCAATCCAGGCCTTGAAGGCGGCCTTGCTAGTGAAAGCGTGCTGGGCTGAGCGCGCTTTGGTGCGGGCGAAGGCGCCAGCGCGGGCTGGTGCTTGAGTGATCTTCATGGTGCCCGTAAACGTCAAGGTGGCTTAAGGACGCAGCTGTCAGTGCTACCCCAGGGTCCCAGACTGGCAGCAAGCGGTTCAACGAGGACCAGGCGGGTGAAGAGAGAAAGGGAGTTGAACGGCCGAGGCGGCAGTGTCGCGTGACTTGCGGTGTTCCATAGTTTTGTATGGGGCGCAAAGGCGGACTACACAGGCTGATTGTAATAAAGAATTGTTATCATAATCAGTGTGTCCGCCACCCTTGCGGAGAAGTCTTATCGAAAGTGTGGGACAGCGAGCCCTATTCGCAGTAGATCGGGTATATGGGTGCGGCGAAGTATCCACTAACGTGATAAGCTGCGGAAGGACCCCGTTCTGGACGCAATTTTCACTACGGGACAGGCATGGCATTATGGCATAGCGATGGTATAGTGGCGTTCCTTGCAGATAAAAGGGGTCGTGGGAGTGCTTGCATATGTAAGGCTACTGGTCATGTGCCTCTATTTTCCAAGGTTGCTGCGAAGCGACCCAGACACTTTGAATATACATCGCTGTTGGTGGAAGGTCCATAGGCAATATGACCGAGACAGCCGACGTAGCCCCGGAGTCGTCATGGGATTAGGAGCAGCCGTGACACAATGTGCGGGCTACGTGGGCTAGAAAAATCTGTCGGCGCCCAAATATGCGACAGGACCCTTTTTTAGTCCCTAGGCGGAAGTGGACATTATGTCTAGGAACATCTCACTCATACATCTCGTCGCCATCATACGTTGTATTCTCTGCGTAACTTGATCGGATCTTTACCAGAGCTCGCCAGAGACGTGACATCAAAAAGCGATCCCACTGGAAAATATACCTTGTTCCCGCACGTGTTGTAGAGCCGCCATGTAGGCCAAGCCGGGATCGACCCGTCAAAGACGGGTGGAATACCGGATCTTCTCGGTACTCCGGCACTACTTTACAACCCCCATACAACACGCCTGCTACCTAAAGGGCTTGGCTGTCGACCTCCTGGACAGCCGAAAGAGCCAGCCGTCTACTCAACATCCCGATCATTAGGGCATTGTGATCGTCTTGTTCTCACACTTGTCGCAGATTTCGTCTACTATGCAGATATGATGAGTACCCCAGTAAGCAAACATTGACAAATTCACCCTCAGCCTGACGGCCGAAGCTTGCCAAGCTTTGGAGAGGAGTGACAGGGCTGTCCCTATTTGGTCTTGTCCGTGGCTAGTGGAGAACAGCCTACCTGATGCACCAAGGAATCTGGTATTGTGTGAAAAATCTAAAAAAAAAAGGAAAAACTGGCACTAAAGCCAACTAACGAAAATAGCAGCCCCGGCTATTTTTGTGCAAATATTCAGGTCTGAGTTCTTCGATCCAATTCCGTATGTCTAAGAGACTGAGACCCGCTTACATGCCCACATATACCTGAGTTGTGCAAAGGAGTGGGAGACGTCAACGCTTTGAGCTTTGATGATTTGCCCACCTGGTTTGGGCATGATGAGGATTTTGCCAGCTGTTCACCTACTAATGCACTAAACGCTAAGACGGGGAAAATCCTCAAGCTGTCCAGGCTACGAAACGCCCAAGTCGGATTGTGTCGTGGCTGAGGATTGAAAAACAGTCACATTAGGATACTGGATCTACAGAATTCGACGATGAGCAATTTTAGCATCGTAGGAAAGATTCTAATCCGTTTTAAGCTGATTGCTAGAGGTGCTTATTGAGATTGCAGATTATAGTGCGGCATTTTGGATTTAGATACATGCTTTGGGCGTTTAGTTTAGGGGTATAACATCCGCTTCGCATCTCCAAATGTATGCGGAAGGTCGTGAGTTCGATTCTTACAACGTCCAAAAGTAATATTTTTGTTTTTGGCTTCTTTTGTCATCGGCTTCTGATCTCTCTCTCTCGTACCACTTCGAGCACCAAAGTACTTCTTGGCGCTGTCCTACTGCTTTGCACTGGTCGGCGGGTAATACAGCTAAATTTTCGCTGAAGCTAGTGAACGGCAGCAGTATACATTAAGTGTTCAATACCAATCAAGTCCAAGCACACTATGTATAGCAATAGCAGATAGATTTTGATCCCTGACGTCGCCGGTTTTCTAGTTCAAAGCGCCCGCAATGTTGCAGTCATCACCTGAGAGGGCTATCTACCTCAATTGGTGCGATTGGAGGTTTACTCCTCAGGAGAAGATGATGCACCAAGGTCAGCGAGGAAGGGATCATATGCAAGCGATATAAAAATGCTCGTGATACACGTGAATCGAACCATTATACTACTCCAAACTCCAGAGAACTAATCTAATACCAGTGATGCTTCCGTCCGCTTCAAATAACAACATAAATGCCCTTATGTAAAGTTGCTTAAATACTCAAAGCTCTAACAACATCTCCAATGACGTTCTCGAATCCCTCCACAAACTTTTCGAGACCTTCCTCATCAAATATCACAGAATCGCATCTCACGCCAAAGTTGACGCATCCGGTCTCCTTGTTCTGACCAACATCCACGAATACGTTCTCACCAGAAATCCACGCGACATCGAGCTCATCGACCGCTGTACGGCCTTCAATAGCCGTTGGAGACGAGTAGTCAGTCGGGACACCAATCTCGAACGGCTTGAGAAGCGGCGTGGTAGGCTCCGCAGGCTTCTCACCGGTGATCAGCCCATCATTCCAAAGCAGATTCAGTCCTGTGTTGAACTTCACACCCGTTGAAGAAAGCACATCGCGCAGCCTGCTCTGCTCATGTGGCACGCGCGATGCCATGGCTGTCTGGGTCTGGCTCAGCAGCGCAGAGGCATCCGCACCAGTGACGGCGGTCGTGAAAGGGAGCATGTTGATCGTGGGGCCGTATAAGTCGCTGATGCCCTCGAAGGCGCTCGATCTGCCTAGATGGAAGAGCGCAAAGGTGGGCTGCTTGGTGCCGGTCGTCAGGCTGAGGTGCTTGGCATAGGCCATGACGAGAAGCGCCTGAGGTGTGGCTCCACACTTGCGTGCCGCGGACTCAAGATCTGTGATCTTGACCTTGGAACCCTGCATCATGACGAAGGTTTGTTTTTTGGAATCTGGCGCATCAAGCTCGCGGGTGGCTGAGATGGTGGTTGACTCGCCGCCTGCCAGGTGTTGGCGCCAGAAGGTGAGGTCGTTCGCGTCCTTGTCGTTGATCGTGTGCTGGATAAATTCCGCGAATGGCGTAGGCTTGGAAATAGTTTGACCTCGGTACAGCGCCTCAAGTTGCTGTAAGAAGCGGACCATGGTCCATGCGTCATACGCTGCGTGCTGCACCGTCACGAGGATCGCGTCTCCTTCGGCACCACCGCGGACGAGATGTAGTCTGGCTGGAGGCGTGAAGAGGTCAGAAGGAGCACGGGCAATCTTGTGAGCGAGCTCTCGGGTGGTAGCCTCTAGGCCATTGGCTGCATCTGTTACGGCGAAATTCAAGTTGTCGTCGCTCACGGCAGAGGCATTCCAGACGACTTGCACGGCACGGTCTGAGCTGATAGCAACGAAACTGGAGCGAAGCACGCTGTGCTGTAGCCTCAGCGTCTCCCATGACTTGCGCAGACGTTCGACGTCCAAGGACTCATCCGTGCGGAACACCCACGAGGGCTCGTACATGGTCCTGCCGGACTTGAGCCATGCAGACAAGTGATATTCCTGCCCAGAAAGTACAGGGAGCACATCCTCAATATCTTGCTCGCGGACGCCGAGTTTCGATAGAGCTATGAGCTTAGTGGCGTCATCCAGCATAGGCTGGGTCAGCTTGGTCACGTTGACGGTCTTGGACTTGTTGGCTTTGTTGTGAGCGAGTTCGCAGATTCTACCAACGGTGATACCTTGAACGATATCAACAACACTGAGCTTCATACCCTTGCGCTTGCATTGTGAAACAATGGTAATTGCGCTGATTGAATCAATGCCGAGGGAGAAGATGCTGGTGTCCAGCCCAAGTTGGTCCGGTGTAATATTGGCATAGCTGGACAAGGCCTGGATAAGAATAGGGCTGTATTGGTCGACAGCCGTCTGGTCGAATTTCTTGTCTTCTGACTTGTTGATTGTGGCCTTAACAGGCTCGAGCGGAACCTGAGCAAGTGCTTTCGGAGTGCTCAAGGCCAGCCCTGAAGGAAAAGCCACTGCATCTTCGAAAGCCGCCTTGAAATCATCCAAGAATGCTCCCAGTCGCTCCTCATTAAGCTTTGAATAAGCTCGGACAAGGATGCCCCGCTCCGTTTGCTCAACCTCAAAGTTTAGAGCATACTCAGCGGGCGCCTCTCCACTTCCCTCTCCCTCGTATGCTTTCCAGAGATCTTCATTCTGCTCATCTTCTGCTGCGACCGTTTTTTGGAAGACAAATAAACTATCAAAGAGATTGGCAGAAGCGACGCCCCCAGTCTGCTGTCTCCACGCCTTTTGCACATCAGCAAGCGACGCGTGTTGGGAGTCAATCGCCTCTTCAGATAGTTGTCTGATCTGACCCAGCACCTCTTCATTTGTTGCCAACATCTGAGACAACCGCAACCTGAAGGGAACCGTATTGAACATTGGACCAATGGTGGCCTCTGCACCTTCCACAGCAATGTTTCTTCCAGAAACTACCTGTCCAAAGACTACGTCGCGCGCGCTGACGAGGCAGCTCAGCGCCTTGGCGAAAGCCAACATCGCGACGTCTGAGACGGCAATCGTGCTACCGCTGGTGATGGGGAGGTCGAGCATTGCGGCGGTCAGAGTCTCGGCGGCACGCTCGGCGTCGCTGAGGGGAATCTCAAGCCCTCTATATCCTTGCACCTGGTTGGACCAGAAATCTGAGGCGGTCTTTGTGGTTTTCGCGATGGCGAAGGCGGCGTGGGAGAATGGTGGGCGGTCAATGGCGGTCTGAGCAAGGTAGGCTCGCTGCAGATCCTCAAAGAGGAAGGGTACGGACATGCCATCGTACGTGACGTGGTGCATGGAGATAACAAAGACCGTCTGTGTAATTCCCTCGATCAGGGTGGCTTTGACGGGTGGCAGGTCCGCAAAGTCGGAGTGCGCTTGGTACATGGTCTGGTCGTTGATGGCTTTGAGCGCTTCATCGCAATCTGAGGTCTGAACAGTCTGCCAACGGATCAAGGCATGCTTATGGACAGCTGCGGCCCAAGGCACTTCAGCGTCAGGCCGCCAGTGGAATGCGGTGCGAAGGATGTCATTCTTAGCGACGACCGCGGCCCAGGCTTCCTTTAGTTTGTTTGAGTCGACTTGGGACGAGAGGGTGACGGCATGGTGGTGGGAGTACAGTCTGGGATCCATTGCGAGTGTCAGGCTGAGCATACCAGTCTGCAACGGCGTGCAGGGATAGACGCTTTCGATTTCATCGCCATCCTCCCAAAGTCTTGCGTCAACAGTCAGTTGAGCGGCTTGAAAATGTTTCGTTTGAGGTGCCGCGTCAACGTTGCCGGATGCCCTCTTCGCTTCAATTTGTTGTGCAAGAGCTCCGATACACCGAGCGCGAATAACCTGCGATGCAGTGGCCTTGATACCCTTCTCGCGAAGCTTGCGAGAAAATCGGATAGCAGTAACCGAGTCGATTCCCATGTGTATGAAAGAAGTCGACTTCGAGATTCCTGCAGAAGAGATCTTGCAGAAGTCCGCAGCCGCCTCCTTAATTTCGGATTCCAGCGATGACCACTCGGCATCATCCGTGGTGGGAGGTTCGGTGCTTGCAAGATTCCTTGCAACCGTAAAGCTTCCAACAGGCACCTTCTCTCCTCTCAACACTGCCTCAGCGAGCAACTCCATTTTCTCCAAGAAGAGGTCAGCTTGCAGAGAGGAGCCAAAGGCAGAGGTGAACCCAGCACGCAGGACGAGCTTGCCCTGCTCTACATCCGCCTCACACTCAACAGCAAGCGCGTAGTCGAGAACCATTTGGCTGTCACGCTCATGGAACAGTTCCTCACCGTCATCCTGTGTCTTTAACTTCCGAGCAAAAGAAAAGATGGTGTCAAACAGAGGCTGGTCAACGCCCAGCCACGCCTGAATGTCTCGCGTCGCGGTGTGTTGATAACCCAGTACTTCGAAACCCGCCTTCTGCGATGTGACCACAGCTTCGTTGACAGTGGAGGCTTTGTGCAAGTTGACTCGCTGCGGGAGGGTAACAATGCACGGCGCAATCATTCGCTCAATGCTGTCGACCGGGACGGTACGACCGGAGAGCACGGCACCATATGTCGCAATCCCATAATCGTGAAGCTGCGCCAGGACCACGCCAAAGACGCCTTGCATCAAAGCAGGTAGCGTCAAGGAGTGCTTCGCACAGTCCCGCTCTAGATCGCCCAGGGAACGGGTGAATGTGCGTGTGTTAACCGCCGTCTCGGTGCTGTCAGAGGCAGGCAATGAACTAGTGGCCAATTCGGCAGGAGACCAGCCAGAGAGAAGCTCAGTCCAGTACTTCTTCGTTGCGTCCACTGAATTGGTCCGTTTGTGAGAAATGTAGTCCACCAAGGCGCCGATAGCTGGCCTGGGCTTGGCAGAGCCTGATAGATACGTTTCTTTGACATCGCTCACAATCATTGGCAAGGACTCGCCGTCATACAGCGCATGATGCATGGAGAGGATGAAAACATTGTCAGAGATTGACAGTGTGAGACGGATTGGTGGGTGAGTCTCGATCTTGTTGACAATCTGGCGACCCAACGAGCCCTGAAGCTCGCTCATGTCACCAATGGCCCGGACCTGGCTCCATACCAGCGGCGTCGTATCCGGTCTGAAAACGACCTGGACCACGCCCTTGTCTGTATGTCTGAAACAGGTGCGCAAAATATCGTTTGCAGCAATGACTCTATCCCATGAGTTGATGAGGCGGGCAAAGTCAATGC